CCAAATTGTATAACTGATAATGTGAAATAGGAAGAAAAGGGCTAAAGGTGTAGGGGAAGTGAGAAGGGTAGCGGAAAGGAAATAAGGGACAAGAAAAGATATGAGAAAAGGAAAAAATGGAAACAAAGTCTTCGTAAATAGGTGAGGATGGAGGGGGTGAAGGGAGGACAGGGGTATGGGGAAAAAATGAGAACCAAGAGCTGTCATGTAAAAGTACAAGATCCCAATGATGAATGTAACTGTACTGCATACTTAAAAAGTAACAATAAACTCAATACGATTAGAAAATGGAGTAATACTCAGCCATAAAGAATGAGAAACTAGAGTCATAGGAAAATGGATGCATATTGAGGCCATATTCAAGTGAAATAAATAGGATATACATATGTAAATATCGAATAGTTTCTCTGGTGTGAAAAACTAAAAGTGTAAATAGGGTATATAAACTAGGGTATATAAACTTCTTTTTACATATAAGGAATATAAAAATGTCAAGTATAAAATGGGAGAAAACTTCTGTACATAAATAACTAATTTTATCCTCTATCATTCTGCAAGTACTTTTTTAGTGTCTACTACTCTGTGTCCAGAAATGATGTTGTATACCACAGGAAGAAAGAAGATCCAAAGAGAAATGATATATTATGTAATCTTGGGCAATTTAAAAATGTTGTTGGGGCCAGGCGTGGTGGAGCATGCCTGTAATCCCAGCACACAGGAGGCTGAGGCAGGAGAATCGCTGCAAGTTTGAGGCCAGTCTGGGCTACACAGTGAATTCCAGAGCAGTCTGAACTACATAGTGAGACCTTAATTAAAATGTTGTTGGGGAGAATCAGAAAACAAAATACTAGTAGAGTACATGATAGTGTAATGTACAGTACAAAACCTGTGCATTTGCTACCTACGATAGATATTCCAGAAAGGAACATATCCATGCAAACTCCTACCAGGAAAGAAAGAACAAGTTAAACTGGGTTCTGAAGTTTAGGTTGGATTTAAATAGAGAGTTAGAGGACAGATATAATAGTGTAGGACAATTGTATAAATAAAAATTTTGGACAACTACCTATTTGATATCATAGGAGGATGGGACATTAAAAAATTGAAATTCACAGAAAACTTTTATATTTGAATGGGATTAGACAAGGAAGTTAGAATCATATGAGATATCTTGAATGCTCCCAAGGGACTTATATTTGACTTCAAAAGAGAATCTTCCACAGAAGTATGTGAATGTGAAAGCATTGTGGGATTGACATAGCAAGTGAATTTATGTAATGAAAGAGTAAAGACAGAGCAACCTAGAAGAAATCTCTTAATCCAGGCATGAGGAGATTAGAGCTTCTAGGGAAGTGGAGAAGAGGCAAATTCAGAAGAATAACCCACAAATACAGTACTTAGATATTTTTATCCAAGTTAAGATTATCACCAGGCATGGTGGCAGGTGCCTGTAATCCCAACACTTGGGAGGCTGAGGCTGGAGGATCACTGTGACTTTGAAGCCAGTGTAGGCAACATAGTGAATTCAAAGCCATCCTGAACTACAAAGCAGAACCCTGCCTCAAAAATCCAGGAAAAAAAAAAAGATTATTGTTAATTTGCTAAGTATTATGCACTGAGAATATGGCTTATCTTGCATATGCCTCTGAATACTTTCTTGATAAATAGAATTTTTTTTATAAATTTAAGTTCTTAAAGTACACCTGGGTTGATGTTTGATTTTTTTCTTGAGATTATAATATAATGAAAGAAATTCTTCTTTATCTTGCATAAAGGATTTATATTAAAAAGGTGCAGAAGTTTCCTGAATATAGAGTACCCACAGACCCCAAAATTGATAAGAAAATAATCAGAATGGAGCAGGAAAAAGCCTTTAACATGCTAAAGAAGAACTTTGTAGATGCTGGTGGTGTTCTTAGGTATGATATTTTTATAATTGTTTTATTTTACAATTAATTAGGCCCATATATAAGAATTCTTTTGTAAGAGAAATTATAATTGAGTTTTCAGTTATTTCATTAAAATGGTTTATAAGGCAGATATCTCACTAGCACTAAACTTATTTTTCACTGAATAGGTTATTGAGTTTATTATCCAGAGATGGTAGATTATTCAACTGAAGAATTACATTATTTATATATGCCAAATATAGTTAGTAATACAGTACATAGAAGGCTTTTCCCCAAATGACAAATACGTATTTGTCAACACTTTTTATTATATACATAGTACTTTGCTTCAGATACTTAGTAGCAGAACTTTCAGCCAAATGTGTTTTTTAAACCTCTCTCTGATTACTATAGCATCCAGAAATGAACTGTAACTCTTAATAAAATTTCATTTTATACTCAAGTTTTAAATATTAGTTTTCTTGTGTAGTTTGCTTTATATTCATTCTGGGTGAGAACTTATTGAATAATGAGGTCATCTGTAGGGAAAACACTTTTTGTGTGATCCTTAATAGAAAACTTTTAGGTATGTAAAAATGAGTCAATAATTAGATTCTTCAATGAATAGCCTCCATTTCATTTCATATCAGCTATTATAATAATTTTTTGTTTTGTTTTGTTTTTTATTTTTTTGGTACTGGGGATTGAACTTGGGTCCTTGCGCTTGCGAGGCAGGAGGTGGAATCACTGAACTAAATCCCCGGCCCAATTATAATAATTTTTATTAGCTCAGTTTTCTATTTCTGTTCTGCCGTCTAAGAGACCTGTGTTCATCTTTAGTTAATGCTCTTGCTCACTGGACTAGCAGGAGCAGAAATGCTTTACAGGCAATATGTTGAGCTCCTGTTAGAGAAGATTCTTCCATATATGGCTTGATTGTGATAGGCTCTGAATGGAATCCACTGGGTTGCATCACAGAAATAATGTGGGGCAAATAATGAGAAAATTCTAAAGATGATAATTTACAATATTGTCTCTTTGTTTTGTGGTAAAATTTTATTTAATACAAAATGTAAAATAACCTTTTCAGGTATACTTAAGACCATACTCACCTTTAACTTTAGAGCCATAATGAAATGTATAAAGGTTTATAAAGATTTGTATTTATTTATTTTATTTTATTTTGGGTACTGGGGATCAAACTCATGACCTTGCACTTGTGAGGTAGATGCAGCGCCACTGAGCTTAATCTCCAGACCTAAAGATTTGTATGTAATTGAGTATAAAGTCAGTGTTAGAAGAGTTAAGTCAAAAGCATTTTAAATTTTATTAAATATAACAAAATATTTTTTCTCAAAGTTTTATTCCTTCCCTTGAATATTATGATTCTAGCCCTGTCTAGTAATATTAGATAATTTTAATATTTAAATTTTAATACTTTTAAATATCTTCTCTTACCAGGTGGTATGTACAGCTACCTACACAGCAAGCTCATCAGTATCATGAATTAGAGACGCCTTGCCTCCCTTTGTCACCTTCCCTTTTTCCTATTTCTTCTCTTGAAGAAGAGGAAACTGCAGTCAGAGATGAGAACTGTACATTACCCTCACGTTTACACCCTCAAGTAGCACATAAGATTCAAGAGTTAGTATCACAGGGCATAGAACAAGTATATGCAGTGAGGAAACAGCTAAGGTACAGTAGAAGCAAATTATGTTTTACGTTTTTCATTTTCGCTTATTGGTTTAAACAATACACTTAATATATTACAGATATTTTCCGGGATATGTTCTATCAGAATAAATAAGGAATTTGGATTATTAGTATATTATAAGAATCTTATTTACAAACCAATAATTTTCTAGCAAACACTTCCAACAAATAAGCCATTCCATAATATGACTTATAATCTTGTTACTCATTTGGGACATTCCATATTTGGCACATTGGACTGTTTCTAAATGGTGTATGAATTGAATTATGTAATACATACCTTTAGAGAAAAACTTTTGTAGAACCAAACATTTCAAGATACTTATTTCATATTATATGAAAAGTGTTTATATTTATTAGGACAAAAACATTTGGAGAGTTCTTTGTGTAATGACATTGTATTTGTGGTACTCTGGTCTAATTTTATTGATTCTCAATAATTAAAGTATTTACTGCAATAATACTATATATTACATTTATTTTAATTTATTTTTTATTTCCATGTATTATATATAACAGTAATAAATATTGAGTAGTACAAAACTTAGACCAGAGTACTATGAATAAAATTTCATTAAAAAAAGGACTATCCAAATTCTTTTGTTATAATTGATAATTTAAGATTTTAAAATGTAAAATAATTTTAATTATTATTATTTGGTGATGCTTCCTGTGTTTGTGCCATATCCTGTGCTGAGTTCTTTACATATACTATCTTCCTTTTAGTCTTACAACAGTAGTATAGAGCTGGTATACTTATCCCCATTCTATTTATGAGAATATGGAAACTCAGAGTTGTTAAATAATGAGCTTAAAAAGTAGTGTCAGAACTGAAATTTAGGCCTAATTCTACACCCTTCACATATTACTATGATTTCTAGTACTTCACCTTGCTCCTACTGGCTATTATGTAGTATAATCTGAACAATAAAATGAATCCTTTCTAGAATTGTTTCTTAACTAATACATGATTTTTTCAGCCACTTTCTTAGACATTTTGTATTTATTTCCATTGGGGCATCTTTAAAACAAAGTTAAAATTTTGTAAAATCATCTACTGTTTACTAATAGCCCTAGACTAAGGTACTTACTTAGACTATTTGAAATGAGGTTCATTAAGAACAGGAAAGCTGCGTATGGTGGCACACACTTGTAATACCAGTACTCAGGAAGCTGAGACAAGAGGTTCACCAAGAGTTGGAGGCCAGCCATTGTTACATAGTGAGTTCAAAGGCAGCCTAAATTACATAGTGAGACCCTGTCTCAAAATAAAGAAAGAAAAGAAAACTACCAGAAGAATAGTACGACTCTACGCTCTAGTCCATTGAATGTAATGTACAAAGCATATATATTTTAAACGTGGTGATTTATGTATTTTTTTATATAATGTAGCAATGTTGCCTTCTATTTCTCTTTTGTTTACTTGTGAAATTCAAGTACGTCGCATTTCATGTAATGTTAATTGATGCCTTTTGGAAACAGTATAACATTATGCCTGAGCACATAATTTGCATATAGGCCCCAGTTCTCTTTTTTCCTAGGTAGGTATATCACTTTGGAAAAATTATTTAACTGCTGCAGATTTATGGTTCCCTCATCTGTAAAGTGGAAATAATAATTGTATCTGGGTCATAGGATCATAGTAAGAGTTAAAGGAAATATTGAAGTGTTCATTACTGTGCCTGACATAGCATTTAAAAACATTAAGAAGAAAATAACTGCTCCTTTAAATTTGTAAAACTGTCAAAGCTCACTCTAATGTGTTTATCCAATGAAAAATTATGTTTCTTTTTTGTTTTGTTTTTTGTTTTTTGTGGTACTGGGGATCGAACTCAGGTCCTAGCGCTTGCAAGCCAGGCTCCGGAACCACTGAGCTAAATCCCCAGCCCAAAAATTACATTTCTTTAACCTGCATGAATTCTATGATTTAATGTATGAAAAAAATTAAGCCTGGCATGGTGGCACATACCTGTAATCAGAGCACTCAGGAGGCTGAGGCAGGAGGACCAACCTGAGATAAGACCAGCCCGGAGTTGATAGTGAGTTCAAGGCTCACCTGAACTACATAGTGAAACTCTGTTGCAAAAAAAAAAAAACTAAAGTGGAAAAATATAAATTATTTAGGATCTATAAATCTTATTTTACTGAAGTTAATGCTAAAAGAGAAAATTTCTATCTTTTGCTCTACAAGTGTATTGCTAGACGGTTTATATTTTTATTCTGTTTTATACTCTTCACAGAAAATTTGTGGAAAGAGAACTGTTCAAACCTGATGAGATACCTGAAAGACATAATTTATCTTATTTTCCGACTGTAAACGATATAAAAAATCACATCCATGAGGTACAAAAATCCTTGAGAAATGAAGATATGGTATATAACTCAGAGATTATTCCAGCCACGGTATGATTACAACCACAGTTCTTTGCTTTATTAAAGCATCTTTCTTAGCTTCTATTAATATTTGGAGTAAGAGGTATTAAAGCATCAGAATAATTGATACAAGAAAAATATGACAAATTGCCATTCAAAAGTAAATACTATGAGCCGGGCATGGTGGCACACGCCTGTTGTCCCAGAACTCGGGAGGCTGAGGCAGGAGGATCGCTGGGAGTTCAATACCAGCCTGGGCTACATAGTGAGTTCCAGGTCAGACTCAACTACATTGTGAGACCCTGTCTCAAAAAAAAAAAAAAAA